CAAGGCGATGACCACTTCTTGGCAGGTGGTTTGCTCCGAGACACCGCAGACGACCCTCTGGATCCCGTCCACCCAGACCTTCAGCTCCATCCCCACAGCTGCCAGGCCTCAGGCACGCTGGGTCATTGCAGGACAGGCTGTCTGTGGGCAGAAAAGAAAGCAGGTTTCCATCCCAAGCTGCTGCTGAGGAATACGAGACGCTTTAAGAGTGGCATCGTTAAATCATCCTTAACACCAGCATCCCGGAAGGTGCACCTAGAACAAGCAGTTGCTCACTGCCACCCTCCATCCATCTCTGTGGCTTTCCCTGCACATGGATTACATTTTTGTTAATATTATTGTTCATCTGAAAGAAAAAAAAACAACCACAATTTTTTTTTTTTTTTGGCTCATGTCTGGGCAGTGGGTCTAAATCTTCCCATGGTGGGAAACGACGGGGTTTGTGTGCCTCCATGGCACCCAGAAGATGATGCTCAGGTTATTTCTGCTGCGAGCGCAGACTTTTAATGGGTTTGCTGGACGTTCACTGTGATTTCTCTGACAATTTGGCAGCGCAGCACTGGGGGATTTTCCAAACAATATTGAAAAAGTTGGAGAAACTGCCTGCTGCCCACCCTCGCAATGGGAGCTTGAGAGAAGGTGCAGATAATCTATCTACCTCCATTTCAATTTATCAGAGAGAGATTAAGAAATTAAAAGAAAGCCTCTTTCTGCACAAAAACCTGGCCAAAGGTGGGGTCTGGGAGGGGGAGCCAGGCACGAATGCCCATGGTGAAGCCCGGGCTCCCAGAGGATGCTCTGCCCAACACCAGGGCCCAGTGGTTACTTCTCCTGTATTAAACTCACACCCATTAGCCCAGGTGCACCCAACTCCTGCCTCTTCCAGCAGCTCAACAGCTGTGACAGTTTGTTTTTTTTTTTTAAAGTAACATAAAATTAAGTACAAGCCCGTAAAGGACTCAAATATTTGAGCTTACGGGGTTTTCAAACACCATGCAATCAAAGATGTATCTTTTCCCCCCTATATCATTGTTTTTTCTAGAATCAGGCTTGTCTGAAAGCCCCAGGTGGAGGAAAATATATAGAAAATTTCCAGGCCCTCCATCCAGAGGGTCTCAAACCGCTTTCCCAACCTAACCCAGTTGGTCGCAGCCTCTCCATCCCTCAGCTCCAGCTCTCCCAAGTTTGCAGCCGGCCTGTGAGAAAGCTCGATGTTGGGTTAAACACCACTTCTTGCTTATTTTTTGTTGCCCGCTTCAGTAATCAAAGGGAGTGCGCAAAGGGTCCCGCCTCCAGAGACGAGGCATTTTAGCCATGGCGTGAGAAAGACAAGGAGAAACCAGGGAAGATATGGCATGGCGAGGCTGTTCCCCACAGGTGCTGGGTCCTGTTGGCACTAGCCCCCTGTCCACCTCCCAAACGTGGGCACGGAACGGCTGCTGAAAATACCTCAGCGCTGAGCTCATGTTTGCCTTGGCTGGGCGGCCAGGGAAAACCAGGGGGGGGGGTGAAGGGCACCTTGGGCACAGCCAACCTCCCTGTGAGCCTAAACCCACTCAAATTTGCAAGGTTTAGCCCAATTTCACGTCAAAGCTGTGTTTTGGCACTGCTCCCCCCACCCTGCGCACTCAAGGCTGCAAACGGCCCCTGGCGCAGAGCAAAGTCCGGGCACTGCCGCGGCACCACCCAGCTCACCCCAAAACCACCGCTCCCCCCACCCTCCCAGCACCCTAACGCCAGATTTGGCACGGCAATGCATCCCAGGGAGCATCGCCCCCAGCCCAGCCAGGGACCCGGCTAGTGTTGAACCCGGCTTCCCATGCCCGACCCCACAGGGACGCTGGGAGCTTCAAATTGAAGAAAACAATAACCCAGTCAGTTGTGCCACGCCGCACAGCCTCACCTTGCCCAAAAAATCCAGCAGTTGCCGAACGCTGCTGGGTGCGGGACAGCCGCCGGCACGCCAGTCCCCGGCACCGGTTTGGGTCCAGAGCTGGCACCAGCCGCTGGGCTCGCCTTGCCCAGCCTCCCTGGCAATCATTTACCAGCAGCCCGCGCGTGGCACGCCACCGCCCAAGAGCTAGGAGCGGCGGGCGC